CCCTTTCCGATCATTATTTAACTCTCTCGTTGCCCAAAGGCCGCTAAAATTAACTTTTGAAATTTTGAGCATACCCTAGGAAGGTCCCTGAGATGGGACATATTTGTACCAAAACAGAATCAATTCCCTGTTCTGATTAAAAATAAAGTGAAAGACAGAGTGAATAAGTGACTGGCTGAAGAGGTGAAAGAAGCAGACCGAAACATATCGTGCTCCTGTGATTACGAAGAACTGCTACGTATACTCAGAAACTCACTGCTGACTCATAGCGTGCTCGCCCGACCCTGTGGGTCAGGGTAGAACAGCCCCAGTGAGTTTCCGAGACTGACTTTTTCCCGGACTAGAAACCTCATCTTTCTCCCTACTTATGAATATGGGTAGTTGTGATTACGGGGAAAAAAATATTTCCTGGAACACCGTAATGTGTTTATCAGGAAGGGAAAACTGAGTAAGAAACGTATAGAAACGATGTTCAGACCCTAGAAAAAAATGATCTATTTTCTTCAGACAATGGCAAAAGACATAGTAAGGGTCATTTCCATGGGAGACGATTAGACTGGAAGTTAGTACTTCAGAATTGTAGATTCTTTTCATATCTGTTCCCCCAATTTACTGATAATTCTGAAATGCATACCACAGCTCCTATCTCTTCCTTTTTTCTTGAAGGGGAGATTGAGATTGGAGATGATAGGTAATATAACAATATAAGATTTGCCTGAATCACACAGATAGGAAGTTGAGCGCTGGAACTTAAATTCAGATAAGAAGAAACATCAAACTGAATCTTCTTTATCCTTGTATTCCATCATTTGAATCAAAACTAGCTAGGCTTACTTTACATATTAGCTTAACAAGACAGCAAAATCCTCACAACTGGACCAATAGACAACATTATGATAAAGAAAGAAAAGGTTGACCTTGATAAGGATTTCCTTTACTGGGATGCAGAATCAATGCTCATCGAAGCAGTAGTTAAGAAATAAAACAACGTGTTGCATTGAGCAAATGCACCGCACAGGATCTCTTCAATGTGTTGAGGAGTAAGATACCGTGTGAAGGACTGAAAAGCAAACAAATCTCCATTAGAAGACGCGCTGCATGCTCCTTAGACCCAAGGATGGTAAAACTCACTCTCATGCATGTGGGACATGTCGTAAGGAGAGACCGGTCTTGGAAAAGGACATCATACTTAGTAAAGTGGAGGGTCATTACAAAGACAGATCATCAAGAACATGGACTGCCACAGTGGTTGCAGGATGACACGGGAGTGGACTGTGCTTTGTTCTCTTGTGGTAGGGTCTCCCTGAGTCAGAATTGACTCCATGGGATTCAAGGGCAACAACAGGTTTCGTATTTCAACTCAGCTAGCTACTCACTAACGCATATGAGTGGGTATAAAAACAAACACATTTTCCCCTAAAGCTATGTACTGTATTTCATTTTTCTTTTTTTTAACAAAACAACCTTTGTATCTATCACCTTACACTTAATTCATTTGTCAAATCTGCCATTCCATTCTTGGAAACACTTTCCAAACTCATCTGTTTGGATGGCTGACAGCACCTCTCTTGTTTTTTTCTTCACCTCTTCTTTTTTTTTTTTTCTTCACCTCTTCTGTGTCATCAAATCACTGACCTTTTAGGTCCTGCTTCATTTGTGGAAACAAAAAGAAGTCCTATGGAGTGAGGTCAAATGAGTAAGGTGCAAGGAGCAAGAGAAGCATGCTGGGATTTTTTTTTTTTTTT